CCCGGCATTCTCACCCTTGCCCCCTGCCCTGCCCCCCACCCCCCACCCCGCCAGGTGCTTCCATCCACCTTCCAGGTCTATGGCGCCAACGTCGGCCTCCGCGGCAACGAGACCCTCGCGCCCATCAAGATCCCCACCGCGGCCCCGCTGCCCGCCACCACCGACGGCGACCTGAACCTCACCGGCCCCACCGACCTTTCAGCGTTCCCCGGGCTCGCGCCCGCGGCCCAGGGCGCGCTGCCGGGCGCATTGGAGCCGGCGGCGGCGATCACGCCCTCGGAGCAGGGCCTCTTTGCGTCGCTCGACAACATCACTGCGCCCGGCGCGTCCAGCGCGACCATCATCCCGGGCGTCCTGCCGACCGCCGTGGTCGACGCGGCCCCGGCGGCCAACGCCACCGCGCCCGCGCCGGCGGCCAAGAGCGGCGCGGCGGCGGCCGCGGCCGCGCCGGGCGCGCTCACGGCCGCGGCGCTGCTGGGTGCGGCCGTGCTGCTGCTGTGATAGGCAGCCACAAGTGCTGCAGATCGTGGCCTCTGTTGTTATTATGGTATGTCTGGACTGCGGCAATGCTTCGGTCGACGGACTGACAAGGGGTAGGGGTTGCAATTCGGCTGGCCGTGCGTCAGTGCGCATCGCAACGCAAGCGCTCCAGGCCCGGGCTGCTGCTGGGGCTTGTGGCGCCGGCCGGACCATACGGCGGCCCGCGCAGGCGTTTGCCAGCAAGGCGCCGTAGCCGCAAGGGAGGCGTGCCTGCTGCGAGGCCGCGCACTGATGCATGTACTGCATGCATGATCGATGAGGCCTCCGCTGCGCATGGCACCGCCAGCACGTGTCAACACGGGGCAGCAGTTGCGCGCGTGCGCACGTGCTTGTTTGAGTGTCACGAAGCATGGGGCCAAACCCGCTCAAGGACTGTAATTGCATTCTTAATCCTTCGAGGCGGCGCCCGCAACCAACAGGTGCCATGGCAAGGGTGGCTGCCTGAGCTGCACGTGTCCGAGCCGGGCACAGGTGCACCGCCAGCCATGCGAGCGTCCATGCCGCAGGTGGCACACTGAAACCATGCGGAAATCATCAAAGCGCACCCCAGAAGGAGCATTCCATTGGTTACACGTGGCGCGACACAGTCATGTGTGCGTGTGCTTTGTGCGTGCGGCGCAGCGCTGTCCGCACGAACATGTCAACAGGCAGCCACTCTACAGGAACAGAGCCAGCTGCAAAGAGGAGCACTCGACACACTAAACCTGAGGCCAAAAACTTGAAGAAATGTGCGGTTGAACCGTTTCTAGCACAACACACCTCAAATAATACATCGCTCGCGCGTCACCGCAGCGCGCGCAGCGCCGCGCGCACCATCGCTTGGTCCGCGGCGTCCGAGGCCCCCGCCGCCCCGGCGCGGCCCCATGCCGCCCTCCACTCCCGCATCCAGCCCGCCGGCGGCGCCTCTCGCAGCGCCGCCAGGCCCCACAGCAGCATCGCCAGCTGGCGCGGGGTGCAGCTGCCCAGCAATTGCCCGCCAGCCGTGGCCGTGAAAAACGCGCGCAGCCAGGGGGACCCAGGGTGGAAGCCCAGCCGCCCCAACGACCAAAGCATCAGTGCTGACGGCAGCGCGACAGCTGCAGCCCCCGCCGCCGTCGCAGGTCCGACTGTCGCCGCCCCGCCCCGAGAGCCGCCACTCGCTGCAGGCGCCCCTTGCGCACCCGTCGCCACGCGCCGCGCGCACGCAGGGTGGCGCTCGAGCAGGGCGCGCGAGCGCTGGACCCAGGGCAGGACCAGCCCCGGCGGTGGGCGGCGGCGGCGCTTCGCCAGCGCCCACAGCACCATGGCGCAGTCGATGAGCAGCGCGTCCGACGCGATTCGCGGCGCCTCTGCTTCCAGCGCTGTGAACAGCAGATCATCGCCGCTGCCGCCGCCGCCGCGCCCCTCTGCCGCGCGCGCCCACAACAGCAGCGCGAGCGCGCGTGGCGGGAACGCGCCCATCCGCCGCGCCGCGTCGGCCTCCAGCGCCTCCCACAGCCTGGCCGGCGCGCGGCCGGGCGCGACGCGTGACAGGCCCCAGGCCAGCGCCGCGGCGCCCTCTGGGGTGTAGCGCCAGGGGGACAGCGCGCTTACCGTTTCCTGGGCTTCTGCACCACCAGCCTCCCAGCGCCGCAGCCCCGCGCTGAGCTGGCGGCCTCGCGG